GTTTTAGAACCAAGTCTGAAATATCTATATTTATTGGTTTTGGTGTTCATCTCCAGTATGTTTAGATCATGACTTTCTTCTTTTTTAGCTCTTGTTATTTATTCATTTCGTAGTTGGTTGGAAAATATCCTCAATACTTATTTTAATTAAAAGACACAGGATTGGAATATTTTCTGAGCCCTTGCTGACTTGAGAATGTGTTTTGTTCACTGTGGCCTGAGTACATCTATGCTAGCGTAGCTAGGTATAAAATTTTGAGTCATAAGTTTTCCCTTTTATAGATTTTGCTTTGTGATCTTTGGCCCAGATCTTTGTTTTTGAATCTCTCCAGTTTTTTTCCACATCTTTAGTGTTTTGCAAAGATATAGGTGTTGGACCCTATTCCTTGAGCTTTGATTCTCCCTGTGGCTCACCAAGAACTAAACTCGGAGGTGCTTTACCACTGAGCCACATCCCCAGCCCTTTTTATTGTTTGAAACAGGGCCTCTCTACATTGCTGAGGGTGGCCTAGAACTTGATGCTCCTCCTGCCTCAGCCTCCTCAGTAGCTGGGATTATCAAGGGATGCCACCAGGCCTGGCCTGCTTGAGTCCTGCTTCCATTCCATTTGGCCCCTGTTGCAGTTCCCACCTGTCACCTACCCACTCTCTACTTTCCTACATTTTTATCCTCTTCCATGTTTCTATGTCTTTATCCTTTCCCCCTATATTTTATAAATTTCTCCATCTTCTCAAATCCCTGAATTAGTTTGCCACAGTATCATTTTTCTCTGCTGCTTACAAAGCGGATGTTAATTGTGCCCACTGGGATTTGAGATAATTTGCTCTAGTTTTTATTTTTCCAACTCTTCTCTCTCTTATGCATTTAATATATGTGGTCTTTAACCTTATCTTTCCTCCTATTTCATGTGGCTTTCTCTTTCTAGAATTGTTTGGTCTGTCCTGCGTATTTGGTCACCTGTTGTTGGTGGCTGTTTTGGAGCTGTGGCCACACAATTGAATAGTTGTGATGCAGAGCATGTGGCCCTCAAAGACTCAGATATATACTGTTTGGCCCTTTGTAGAAAAAGCTTTGTTGAGCCCTGTCCTAGCCTGAGGGCTGGGTTCCCATCTCGGATCCAAGGTGGATGGCAGGGGATGGTCCATGGCTCCATCTCCAGTTCCCAGTTCCTACCAACCTTTTACTTGGATTTGCTTCTCTTGGGTAGACTCAGTGCCCTTCTTATTCCTCACTTTCTGATTCTCTGCCATCAGTGATTTTGATTAAAAATATAAGTTCCGGAAGCCACCGCAACTGCTAATCCTTCTGGTCCCTACGCTTCCTCAGACATCCTCCCCTGGTGGAGGGCTCACTCCCTGTGTCCCCGCCCTCTTCCTGCCCCTTTGGTTTTCTGGTCAGTGTCCTTCTATCTGCCATCTTCCTCCCTCGCCCCAGGATCTTTCTGTTCATCAGACAAAGAGCTGAGTCCCGAGGTAAAACCTGGATAGTTTTTGCTTCTTCCTCCACCATCTGCCTTTAATTAATAGAGATTGCTCCCAGATCCCGGCACTGGGTCATCTATCAGTTTGCGTTCTTGGCGTTAGTGTGTGAATTTTCATCTTTTCATTGTCTTTATAGCTATTTTGGCACAAAAGCCAGGAGAGGCTCCGCGAGGGGGCTGCCAAGTAGATGCCATGTTGGGGAGGGAGACAGAGTTGGCTTTTAGAGCCCGTGGTTTATCCATCTCAGAGGCAATCTCTGTGGCTCTGCGTGCCTTTGATAAAGGAAGCAAAGACAGGGACGTTTTCCTTATCCAGGGACCACTTTGTCCAGTGACCTCAGCTATCTGGAATACAGTCCAAAGGAAGAGTCACAAGCAGCCAAAAAGCTTTCCC